CAAGGCCGACGAAGACAAGGCTGCCATATGTATGTGAGTGTGTGCGTGTGTGAGTGTGTGTGTGGGTGCGATGAAGGTGAATCAATGCATTGATTGACGTCCTGAACCTCGGTGTACGCGGGCAGGCACACGTGCGGGGAGAGAGGATGTGCTGCGATGGTGAAGCAAATGCAATGGGCAGTCTAGCCAGTGGCGCTGCCGTTTGCGCCACTGGAACACCTCGTACGACAAAGAGAGAGAGAGAGAGCGATCAAGAGCAAGGAAGCAGAGACAGAGAGAGGGCCGAAGCCAGCCGAGAGAGGTGAAGCGGATGGTTGGGCGTTGAAGAGAGATGGTTCAAGGAGAGGGAAGCATAACGGTAGAATAAAGGCATAGCAGAGAGACGAGTAGAACAGCAACCAAAAGCAGAGAGTATTGCCGAACAAGTCATCGAATCAGAGAGAGAGGGCGTGTAACCGTACCATTTTAGAGGTTGTGTGCTTCAAATCGTTCACAGCAACAAGAGGAGAGAGAGAGAGCGAAAATGAGAGAGAAAGCGAGGCAAACCGCTCTGCCAACTTTTTGAATACTTTTGAAGCCTAAAAACCCCTCTTAAACAATTCATTTCCCTTCCTTCTCAAATTCTAACGAATACATGTTATGTAAAATACTTTCCCAGATCGCTGACATCACTCATGGTTCCATAGAAAGTGCTGGTGACTGTCCCATTTGTGTAAGACCGTCACAAGCATCGTCGTGTGCGCCAAAGCACGTACTCGTTCCTGCACGATCTCTCTTCCGGGGAGTAGGGCAATGCCATGCCGATCGATTCGGGTCGAGCGCTTGTTTGTGGGTCGGCAGAAGGTCGAGATTGAGCTTACCGTCTGAGTAACGGAACATGGGTGGTTGTGGTTGGGATCTCAACGGTCATGGTGGGATGAGTTACATTTGGTTGTGGACGGTTTGGGGCGCACAGTGCGACGGTTGGGGTCGTGTTGGCGTGTCACACGTGCAAGCGCACGCCTCAAAGCTTGCGAGCTCTCCCACCACATTCAAAAGCACACGCTTCAAAGCTTGCGAGCTCTCCCACCACATTCAAAAGCACACGCTTCAAAGCTTGCGAGCTCTCCCACCACATTCAAAAGCACACGCTTCAAAGCTTGCGAGCTCTCCCACCACATTCAAAAGCACACGCTTCAAAGCTTGCGAGCTCTCCCACCACATTCAAAAGCACACGCTTCAAAGCTTGCGAGCTCTCCCACCACATTCAAAAGCACACGCTTCAAAGCTTGCGAGCTCTCCCACCACATTCAAAAGCACACGCTTCAAAGCTTGCGAGCTCTCCCACCACATTCAAAAGCACACGCTTCAAAGCTTGCGAGCTCTCCCACCACATTCAAAAGCGCACGCTTCAAAGCTTGCGAGCTCTCCCACTCGCACATTCAGAGTTTTGTGCGGCCGTTATTTACAAGGTCATTGTCAATAAGTGACCGTTACTTTTCGACGGTTCTAGTGTGTGTGTGTGTGTGTGTGTGTGTGTGTGTGTGTGTGTGTGTGTGTGTGTGTGTGTGTGTGTGTGTGTGTGTGTGTGTGTGGCCGTTATTTTAGTCTCTAGTTTTGAACGTTGGAAGCCCATGTGCGCACTCAGCAAGAGCGGCCTGCTCCTGCGTTTACTGGACGCAATTGATTATAATAATATCATCATTACATTATTTATGTTTCCCCCCTCCCCCCGCCCCCCCCCCCGTCCCTCTCAGTTTGGCTCGGCGATCGCAAGGTGCGGCCCAAGCTCATCATGGCTCATTTTTCTTCCTCGTCTTGTCCTCTTCAGTTTGACTCGAGCCACACCTCTCGCGCTCGGGAGGCGCTGCCCAAGCTCAACATGGCTGCCAACGGCAACATGACTGCCAATGGCAACATGACTGCCAAGCTCAACATGACTGCCAAGCTCGACAGGGATGCCAATGGCAACATGACTGTCAAGCTCAACATGGCTGCCAAGCTCAACATGACTGCCAAGCTCGACAGGGATGCCAATGGCAACATGACTGTCAAGCTCAATATGGCTGCCAAGCTCGACAGGGATGCCAATGGCGATGATGCTGACGCGGGTGCCAACATATCTGGTAGTGGCGAGCTTCTGAGGCTGGGTGTTTCAGGAGAAAAGCCTGTTGATGCTGGATGCATGCACGCCGACGCCGAAGACGCCGATCCACGCCTTGTCCATGGGCTCAATGATCGCTTGCTGCCCTCCCACATGAGTCTCGCCCCGCCGAAAGGTGCGCATGTCATTGGCGCCGGCAGCGCTGATGCCACTGGCACGGGAATTACGAGACCGTTGCTGGGGAGGACTGTTGGTCGCAGGCACATGAGCGCCAGCGTCAAAAACATTTATCCACATGGGCGTACCGCCTTAATTGCTTGCTTGGAACTTCATTGTGCCATGAGCTCATGTGTAGGCGCTGATGATACTGATGATATTGGAGCCTACGCCTTGGAGCCGGCGACCAACGAGTCCAACGCCAGTTATAATAGTGCGAACGCATCAGATGCTGCTGCGGTCGCTCCCACTGACCTTGACCACGGTTATCATCTACTTGCTATCCCCCGCGAGGGTGGGGTGTTGCCCGACCTGTTGCCGGCGACCAACGAGTCCAACGCCAGTTATAATAGTGCGAACGCATCAGATGCTGTTGCGGTCGCTCCCACTGACCTTGACCACGGTTATCATCTACTGGCTATCCCCCGCGAGGGTGGGGTGTTGCCCGACCTGTTGCCGGCGACCAACGAGTCCAACGCCAGTTATAATAGTGCGAACGCATCAGATGCTGTTGCGGTCGCTCCCACTGACCTTGACCACGGTTATCATCTACTGGCTATCCCCCGCGAGGGTGGGGTGTTGCCCGACCTGTTGCCGGCGACCAACGAGTCCAACGCCAGTTATAATAGTGCGAACGCATCAGATGCTGTTGCGGTCGCTCCCACTGACCTTGACCACGGTTATCATCTACTGGCTATCCCCCGCGAGGGTGGGGTGTTGCCCGACCTGTTGCCGGCGACCAACGAGTCCAACGCCAGTTATAATAGTGCGAACGCATTAGATGCTGTTGCAGTCGCTCCCACTGACCTTGACCACGGTTATCATCTACTGGCTATCCCCCGCGAGGGTGGGGTGTTGCCCGACCTGTTGCCGGCGACCAACGAGTCCAACGCCAGTTATAATAGTGCGAACGCATCAGATGCTGTTGCGGTCGCTCCCACTGACCTTGACCACGGTTATCATCTACTGGCTATCCCCCGCGAGGGTGGGGTGTTGCCCGACCTGTTGCCGGCGACCAACGAGTCCAACGCCAGTTATAATAGTGCGAACGCATCAGATGCTGTTGCGGTCGCTCCCACTGACCTTGACCACGGTTATCATCTACTGGCTATCCCCCGCGAGGGTGGGGTGTTGCCCGACCTGTTGCCGGCGACCAACGAGTCCAACGCCAGTTATAAT